CTCAAACATGTTGGTGATCAGTTAAAATTCACTGATGATCAAACCCAGTTGCATTACGAAAAACATGTTTTTAAAAATGAATTTATTTGATTTAGGCATTTACAGACTACGTTAAGCTGAAATGAAATATTTACCATGTTTTTCTTTACACTTATTTGATTGTATTGTTTCATGACACAGTGTAGGCCATGTGTTCCTGAATTTTTACAAAAAATAGCTTTCCATACTACCAGATCATTTCACAGAGACAACAGAAAACCTGACAGAAGGTGATACTGTAGCCCTCCCTGCATCTGGCCCAGTGATGCTACAGTTGCAGCCTAAGCTGCCTGCTAATTGAAAACATGACTTCTCTTTGATTTCATATGCCTCATTAGATTTGAAACCAGGCTTTTGTGCTCAGGAAATGGCAGATCACATCTAAACATGATAAAACTGACCTCATGTTGAACATTGCACTGTTGCCTCAGAAGGATGGATTACACAGAACAAACTGTGCACTATTTAAAGTTCATTATGACTTCTGGTACTGTATGTTTAATTCACTGAGCTATTCTGGTGGATTATTCTACTATTCACTCATTTGATGTTATTAAACTGGTCTAATGATGCCACACATGAAACAAATCCAAACTGGGAGCTGGTCCAACAGATGAGGGGCCTGAAAGCTCAAGGCTCTGCCTCCCATTCTACTTTTAGATATCCTAATAAACACAAGTAAACCAGCAGTCTGAGAGCAAAGTGCTCTATTGGGGTGATATGGTTTTATAAGGTTTTTAAGATAAGATGGGGCCTGATTATTCAGAAGAATTTAGGCCAATGAAGCGTATGGGCGAAATGTGCTCTGTGTTTCTAGACCCGGTCAGTGCTCTCACTGCAGCATTTTGGATCAACTGAAGGCTTTTCAAAGACTTTTTAGGACAACTTGATAATAATGGTGGTGCAGCCTAGTAATAAATGCATTAATTATTAATTATTTTTACAGAGTCAGTCTAAAACAGGATATTACAAATTTTAGAGATATTGTGCAGATGGAAGAAAGTGCTACATATTTGTTTAATATCTGTATACTGGAGGACATATCCTGGTCAAAAAACAACTCCAAGCTTCCTCTCAGTGTTACTGGAGGCCAAGGTAATGCCATCCAGAGTAACAATCTGGTTAGGTACCATATTTCTAAATTTTTAGGGCCGAGTACAATAACCTTTGGATTTAGAAAGAGACAATTGGAGGTCATCCAGGTCTTTATGTCTTTAAGACATTCCTGCAGTTTAACTATTTGGTGTGTGTTAACTCACTTAAGTTAACTGAAAAAGAAAGAAAAAGAAAGAAAAAAAGTCTAGATAAATATCAATGGTACTGAAAATAGCTGTCCATAATGCTATGTCTGTGAGATGGCTTGTGTGTTATAAGCCTTGAGTCATTTATGAGTCATTTTTTCCTCTAATGGTAAAATTTTTATTTTTAGAGAAATTCATGAAGTCATTACCTAAAAACTTAGGGTTGTTCTTGTTTTTTCAATCAGTGATGAATAATAAGCTTTACAGTGGGCTTTAAAAAAACAAAACAAAGCAGTAAACTATCTTTCCAGGCTAAATGATGATCTTCTAAATTAGTGAGATGCCATTTCCTCTCTAGCTTACAAGTTATATCCTTTAGGTCAGCGGTCCCCAACCTTTTTTGCACCATTGACCGGTTTAATGTGTTTTCACGGTGTCGGGAGTAAATACAACAAAATAAAATGATACGACCAAGACAAAAACTGTGGTATTTTGTAAATATAATAATAAACGCAAATTCACTGTGTAATTGTGTAACTTTATTAGCAGTGTCCTCCTGAAATGCACCAACAACAATGAGAGTAACATCCTCCTCTCTGCCGCTCAATGCTCTCTGGTCGCTATGGTAATGCACAAAAATTTATTTCAAAATAAGACACACAACTACAACCCGGGAAAAGACCCAGGGAAACCGAGTTAACGATAAAAACCCCAGAAACCATAAATTTCACACCCGAGCCTCAACTCTTACGGCCCGGTACCAAATGACTCAGGATCGGTGGCCCAGGGTAGGTTCCTCCAGGAAATTCAGTTTCCAGTAGCAGAACACCATCAGAAATTTGCAAAAAGAAATTAGAATATGAAAAAGGGGGGAAAGAGAATATGAATATAAGCATAAGCATAAGCATGAATGCATAAATATAGCATATATACACATATATAAATACAGAATATATAAATAGGGTGCACGTTTGAGAGTTATACCACGGAGTCGAGTACTTCTGATTTGACACTCTCTATTTCAGAGGAGCTAACACTGAAATGCTAAAAAGCATCCTCTCAGCTTTAGCTGATAAGTTAGCGCTCCAAATATGGTAACTTCTGGCTTTAAAAAACACAGCTAGTATTGAATGTGGAGTCAAAAAGCAGTGAATAAGGACATGGTGGCTAACTTTCTGCTTGATGCTAAATGTCTGTTTTATGAGCTTGCTGAATTGTTTTATCTAAAACAGAAGTGAAAGTGAAAAGCCAAATAATTGCAGTGGCCACAGCTGTGATAACTTAAGTTCAACTGTGCTAAGAACAAGAGCAGAGGAAAGCTAATTCTTCACAGGGTAATGCTGCCAAGATTTCAGGCAGGATCATGAAGATGATGATGTTAGAGCTAAACTAAATGAACCAAAATGCCCGGACATGTCTCACTGTGACCTCTGTACCTGGGTTTTCCATATCAACTGCTGCAAGACATTCATGCACACACACACCTTCTGTGCGTCTTCATTTAGAGCAGGGGTCTCAAACCTAAATGAGATGTGGGCCACTGCTGGCACTGTCATCTCATTATTGGGCCCCTTTAGTGTTCAAATAGTACAAAACAAACAAGAAAACACCCTCCAATATTTCCGAAAATAGTTTTTTTATATTTCAAATATTGTATAACAAGACAAAACTGCAAATGTGAACCTATTTTTTTGTTTTCTCATCACTCCTTACTAACTGAAGCTTTTTACACACTGGTACTCTCTTTCTGGTCAGATGTGGCAGCACTTCTGCTTTAATTTTGTTCGTATTTAACAAAATAAAAATGCAGACATAAGTGTACAAATTAGTTTTCGACTGCTGCTGAAAATTGTTTTCTTTACAAATAACTCTCTTACTGCACTAACACAGCCAGTCCCTCAACACGTTTGTACTGTTTGCTCATATTATCTTCATATCAAATAATTTTTAGCCTTTCAAAGAACTTGTTTTAACATTGCACTCAACAACAAACAAATCCTCCCTGACAAACCGGTAACTTTAAGGGCCAAATTGCATTATATTTTTTCACGTCAATATACCTGCTGTAGGGGGTGACATGGGCTGCAAGTGGCCACCGGGCTACAAGTTTGAAACCCCTGATTTAGGCCATACTGAGCATTCACAAGAGCACATGTCATCTCAAATACAGACTTTATAACACAAATATTATATGAAATAGTAAGGCATCCTAACAGACCCTGAATGCATTGCATACATATTGATATTGTTTTGTCCTCTTAGGTGTGACAAAAAGCCAAACAAACCTCGTCAAAGTTCAGATCAATGTCTTATTAAACTATGAGAAAGAATTAGCATTCATTATGCCATGGTCGTAGAAAAAGTACATTTAAACTGAATCCTTTCAGTTTTGGAGTAACTTTGCCAGAATTAGCAAAACCAGAGACTCAAAACATTCTTTTCAAAAGGTTTTTTTTAACCATAAGGTGGCAGACTTTTACCAGAAAGTTTAAGTCTAGTCTAAGTCTAGTTCAAGTCTAATTATTCCATTGTGTACGGGTGTTACATGCAGTAGACGTGTGTGTGTGTGTGTGTGTGTGTGTGTGTGTGTGTGTGTGTGTGTGTGTGTGTGTGTGTGTGTGTGTGTGTGTAGTCTTGCTCTTTTCTGACCTCAGCTACCACTTGTTTTCCTTGAGAAGCCAGCGTGCAGTTACAGAAAAAGTTCTGGTAGCTCATAGCACAGACTGTCTTGTAATTATGACACAGAAAGTCACTGAGTTGTTTTTCTTTTACTTAAGTACTCTGGTGTACGATGAGTATAGCAAAAGCTGTAATGTTTGACAGAAAATTCTGTCAAACGTCCAGAACTGATGTCCTCCTTCACATTTTCCAAAGCCATGAAGCTGGGCCAGATTGGAGTCTTTGCTGGGCCGGTTCTGGCCCATGTGCCTTATTTTGTTACCCCTGCCAAAAGCAAGGGCAGCCCAGGTCCTACTTGCTGCACAGTGCTTCCTAATCCAAATTTTCTGAATTTGCTGCTGACTGAGCACAGGAGTGTATCCCTCACAGCTCCAGATCCCGAGGCAGCTGAAAGACCTCTCTTGTTGAACTGTATACACTCACTCAGCTCCCATCCTGTGTTTCAGACTGGTACTAGATAAGATTAAAGCCGGCCCTGTTTCAACTTGGTAGAAATGCACAGACCTCTTGGCTATGATCATATACTGGTTCTCTGTTTTTCAGGTCTAGGTCATTTTCGAAGATTTAAAATCTTTTAATGCTTTTTCCTTTGATATTTCAGATATTTTAACATTGAAGTCTGAGTGAAATGTTTTGTTTTGGAGCCAGATTTAAGTGGGCATGAGAGAAACTTGGTTTTGTTTGATATCAGAAAACGTGATGCTGTCTGTTCAAAACCTCTTTCCCGCTTCAGATGCAGGTTTAACGACTATTTCACACAATTTCTGGGGAAACCATCAGAAGCACAAATACGCATTTACAGATGCTAACTACAGCTAACTAACTGTAACTAACTGAGTACGATAAGTAAGCCAGCTTTGAAATACACATGAAGACTTGATGAATAACTATCTGGCTGATCAGCAGGATAATCGCTGGCTGCTGCTGTCATGATTAAGCAGCTCTGCCACATTTAAAGAGCTCTCACATCAGTCGCCATGTCTTTCAAACCAAGCCGGTCAATTCCCCTTTAAATTTTTTTTTTGGGGGGGGGGAGACACTGGTGCAGTTCTGTCCGGGGCTGAGGATGAGTAGGGGAGATGTGTATGTGTGTGTGTGGAGGGGGGGATACCTCAGTTTGACATATATCCCAGGAGACACGCGTGTTTTCATCATGTAGAGGCAGCCAGAGAGCCGAGCTAAGTCACATTCAGCTTTAAACTTCCATCCGGCCTGAAGCTCACACTGCCGTGACTGCAAGCAGCGGCTTCTCTGCAGAAACAAGCAAAACAAATCACTCGCAGGTAAGCACGTCACTGGGTTTGGGGCCGCTAACGCAGAGAATAGGTGTGCTCTTTCCTTCCGCATTATTTTTACATGCTGACCCAACGTCGAAGTCTCTGCGCACAGGAAAACTTTGGTGTTTTGGTCGACCAACAGCGGGTGGCGAGCTTCACAGTTTAGAGATGTTTCTTTCACAGCGACATTACAGGGTGCGTGGACGCAGACGCGCGGCTCATCTTTCAGAACCAAGGACAGAGGCTGCTGCGTAGTTTGAAACCAGAGGCTTTCCCCAGCGGCCCAGCACTCAGCTCCACCGCTGCTGCTTTGAAGGATACACTGACTCACTGCAGTTTGTCAGCGCATTCCTTCGAAGCTTCGAAAATTACATCGTTGTCACTGTTTTCTTTTCTTTCCTGATTTTCCAGACGCTACAGGGCTCCTCCTTGTTTGCCATTTCCGATAGAAACGTGTTTACTCAGAGTACAGAGCTGGCATGAGAGAAAGCCAGGAATGCGTGAAAATATTTAAAGAGAAATAGAGCAGAAACTTGAGGAATATCAGCGGTGGGGCATTCTTTCTCCAGTACAGTTAGATATTGTTTTATGTGAATCGCAGAAAGAACAAAAGTGAGACGGCACGGTGTAAAACAGGTTAGCATTGTATTGTAAATAGATTAATAACTCATGCATGCTAAATATTATTTCATGTTCTCTGCATGGAACAGTGTCTGCGTCTCTGCAGGAACTGTAGTGAGATTTCTCCACAGCTTTTCTTGTGCCTGCAGGAGATGGATCAACCTAAAGCGTTCATCAGTGACATTTACTGAGCCAGAGAAATAACTGAGAAATTAACATTTTGCTGGACCGGACTTTACCACTGTTAAAATTTTCTCCATTTGTGGATAATGGCTCTCAAAGTGGTTTGCGGGAGTCCCAAAAGGCTAGGAATTGCTTTGTAACACTTTCCAGACTGATAGATGTCAGTGGCTTTGTTTCTAAGTTGTTTCTTTAGATGATGGTATGGTCAATCTGTCTGTCACTGTTAAAATTATAAAAACTGTGAAAAAAAGTGACAGTTTTGCTTTTGTATCTGCAGGAATTCCAAAGCCTAAGTGAAATTTCTCCATAATTAGTCTTGTATCTGCAGGAGATGGGCTCAGTTAGAGCATCAGTAACATTTACTGAGCCAGAGACACTCTGTAAATATTTGAGACTTTATATTTTTGGTTTAATTTTGTTTGCTGGCCAGGATGTTAAACATTCAAACTTCACTGCTTTTGGCTTTCTAATTGAGAACACTTTGAAGTCATAGAGCAGTATTCCAGCTGGAACCACCTCTGTGCTGTTTTAACAGAAAAAGCTTCATTTTATTTTAATTGCATGAATTCTAAAGATTATCAGTCCTTTCAAGTTATGAAGCAAATTATTTAAATGATGTTTTGTGTGTATTTCCTTTCCATGTAAAGTCTCAAGCACAAATACACAGTTTGGCTAAAAGTAAGGTGATCTGTAAGCTCACTGTATCGATGGTGTAAATGTTGGGAAAATTAGATTTTTTGTGTAGTGTCTTTCAGACTGCAGACTGACAGAGAGAGCAGTGTGCACACTCATTAATGCAGTCAGGACTCTCTCCAGCTTTTTGAACTCGAACTCATTTGGAGACTCTGAATGATTTACAAATCTGTCTTGGATTATATAAACACGCTCCATTTTCATGTTGTTTATATGCCAATTTTCTTTTTTTTAATATTGTCTTTTACAGCACTGTGAAAAAGTATTTGCCTGTTTTATAGTTTTTTGCATATTTGTCACACTTACATATTTCAGATCATCAGACAAATGTTCAGGTTAAACAAAGATAACCAGAGTTAATACAAAATCCAGTTTTTAAATGATGGTTTTACTTTTTTAAAAATCAGGAAGGGGGCAGATACTATTTCGCAGCACTTTTTATCTGATTTAATGCACTCACTAACAGATGGACTGTGACTCCATTTTACAGAAACAGAAGAATGGCAGCTGCATACATCCTCTTCTTCACTTTGTGGGTCTCTACAGCCTTCACCACAGGACTGTTCTGCCCTCAGCTCTGCACCTGCTCGGTTAAATACAGCCGTCTCTTTGCAGATTGCTCCTACAAGGAGCTAGATAAAGTCCCAGAGGGTTTTCCTCCCAGTGTTGCGACCATTAGTCTCTCTGCTAATAAAATCAGTGTACTACTTCTGGGGACATTTGACAATGTCACCAGGTTGATTTCCTTGTGGATGTCACACAATGAGATTGTGTCCATTGAACAGGGGACGCTTGTGCCTTTGGTTCATCTGCAAAACTTAGACATCAGCCACAATAAAATAGTAGACTTTCCTTGGGAGGATCTACAGAACCTCACAGGACTGTATATGCTGAAGATGAATCACAATGAGATGGTCAGCCTGCCAATGGACGCCTTCTCCAACCTGAAAGATCTGAAGTCTCTTCGGCTCAACAATAACAGATTTGTGACCATAGCTGAAGGAACATTTGAAGGTTTGCTGTCTTTGTCACATTTGCAGATTTATAATAATCCATTCGCTTGCACCTGCTCCCTGGAATGGTTCAGAGTTTGGATTTCAACAACCACCATCTCACTCACTGAGCACAGCCCCATCACTTGTGCAACACCAGAGAAATTTAAAGGAATGGAGATCAGGAAACTGCCTGAGGCAAAATGTACAAGCCCCAATGTCACAGTATGGACTGAGTCAGATAATGCACAATTCTATGAGGGCAGCAAACTGGTCTTGACTTGTGAATTCAAAGGAAACCCAAAACCACTAGTCCTGTGGAGCATTCACAGCAAAAGCCGAAAACAGGAGCTGGCTTTGTTGTTCGCTGAGGAGGGCTCTGCAGAATCCAGCGAGGACTCCTCGGTGTCCTACGAGTCGGATTCAATTAAAGTCTTTAATAACGGCACACTTCTCGTTTCAAACCTCAGGAAGGAAGATGGGGGCAACTACAGCTGCTCTGCCACAAATGAGCTTGGAAGAGCGGAGGATTCGGTTTTAGTTGAGGTGATGGCGCTGTCTACACCAACACCCACGAAGCAAATGACCACAGTACCCACTTACACTAAAACAAACCCATCTACACGCCAGGAAACAGTCAAAGCATCTGCTTTTAATGCTGTGCAGAGAAAAAAAATTACGAGCATCATACCCACTCACCCACCAACTGCAGACAGCGTTTCCGAACCTAATGAAGATTTAACAAAATATCTATCTAGCAAATGTGGCTTGACGGCTAATACGAGCTATATTTCGAGCCCTGTCTCAAACGGGAGCCTAGATGACATCAAATACATGTTTGACTTTGGTGTGATTGCATTAGGAGTGTCAGAAACACAGGCAACAGTGCGACTCAATCCTCTTCTCATGGCCAGACAAAAGGGCAACCAGGCAGCTGATGCCACCTCTGACAACAAAGAGCACCACGGCCTTCCAGACATCTCAGAAAAAGCCCCTTCAAATGGCTTGTATCTGTGCGTCACCGCAGACCTAAAACATTCTGCCGTGCAGTGGTCGAAGATCAGGGATGGCGTCAACTCATATCAGTTCAGCGGTTTGCGACCAGGCACCAACTATTCCCTCTGCCTGACCTACAGAGGGGAGGACTGTGAGGTCCACGTGCTGTTCACCACAAGAAGGAAGGTGCCAAACCTTTTCATCATCATCTCAGTCAGCATCTGCCTCCTGACCGTGTCCACTGTGCCTCTGCTCGGGGCTACGTGCTTCCACCTGGTGTACAAGTACCGCAGCAAGACCTACAAGCTGATCCTTAAGGCCAAAGACCAGTATCACATAGAGAGGAACCTCACCACCAACTTCAACATCTACGCACCTCATGCCGAGTCTCTGAAGAAGATTGACAGCAGCCAGCTGGATGAAGAGGAAGACGAGACGGAGAGCGGAGATGGGGACAAGGAGGCCGATACGGAAGAGAGTGTGGTGACCGACTCCTTTACTTTGTCTCAGTGCAGGGGGAATTTGGACGACTGTGAGGTGGGATCTGAGTACAGTGACAGGCTGCCTCTGGGAGCTGAAGCAGTGAATATTACAACTAATTACAAATATCCCAATCAGTAACTTGTCACTACCTGTGATATAATGTAACTTGCTTTCGTAACATCCCCACCACCTTAAAAATTACAATCCCACACAACTAAACGACATCCTCCAGAATGATTGTATTTGTTTCATTAATACTGATTGTAATTAACATATCAGTTATATTCTCACCTTTCTCTGATGCTCCATTTTTTTTATCAATTATGTAAATATTAGCTGCGCAAGACCAGTCTCCATGGAATTTAACCCAAACCATGATCATTTAAATCAAAAGGTTCCACGGAGGAGCTGAAACACAGTGCCCTGGTTTAAATTATCGTAGATGATGCCTTTGGAAACCATATTTCCCCTAAAATGTGACTACTGATGTAGTTTAGATGTACGAATTTAATTATCTTGGATCCAGGATTGTTTATCATTTGTTTGTTAATCATTATGTTGCTTCATTTGTTGGTGCCATTCAGTTTCATAGAAATATGACTTTACTATACTCGCTTGAAACAACAATCCATGCTGCAGCATTCAGTGATTGGATGGGCAACTGGTTGCCTGTCTATTGATCACTTGTGGAAATTTTCCAGATTCTCCAGTGCAGCAAATAGGACAACAACGCGCTGATAAAATCCCCTCCATCAAAGCAGGAATTGTCTGTACACTTCGTACTTGTTAAGAGATGACTTGAAAATTATTATTTTAAAATTTGGGAAGAAGTTTCTCTTCTTGGTGAGAACATGATTATCACCATGGTGACCATTGATTGATCTTAGCACTAAACAACTAAAGGTAAAAAGAGTTCCTTTGCTAATGGTCATTTTCACACATGTAAGAGAAAACAGGGGATTGTCTGTACAGATGTGTATTCACTACTGAAAACACTCCTCGCTATTGTGAGGAGCGTGCAGGAGGTAGGATGTGATGTTCATCACCGGGCACACTATCGCCTGCTCTGTTCACACGTGGGCAAACCACGCAGTGTGTAGACTTTCTAATATCACGCTTGTAGGGTGAAGTGTATTTATTGCAGAGATCTGTTCTGCCTGGTGAAGTTCGAGGTTACAGTGAATTTACGAAAACTGTAATAAAAGGTTGGAGAAAGTTGGAGAAAGAAAGCAAACTGAAAAGCATAGAGAAAGTATGCACTGTCACCATATCTGCAGAATTCCTGATTTTCTTCTTTGAATAAAAAAAGTCTTTTAAATTTTTAAATGTGCACCTAGATACAGATCTACACAAAAATACACATAGTGATAGACAATCACGGGGAGCAAGTATACTATTTAAACATCCTTTTAAAAATTTATTTCAGTACTGGTGATCTTGAGAAAGAAAAAAAAGCCCCACAAAACATGCACGGACTTGACCAAATTTTAGTAACTCTATCTCAGTAAATGCTGTTTACATAAAATCAGAAAGGTACGAGTTAAGAATTCACAGTAAGACCACAAGAGCAAGAATAAAATCTTCTGTGGTGTGAAGGTAAAATTTCCACAGTAGGGACTGAATATCTATTAAGAATTTCAAAGTGCACACTATGACTAACCGACACTAAGTCCTGTATGTAAATGTTTTTTCAGACCAGTTATTCAACGGTTATATCCACGTTTACATGAGCGCAGGTATGACAAGAAATGAAAGCCTATGTAACCTCAGAAACGTTGATATCTCATTCATTTTTAAGCACTGT